TACTTTTTTCAATGTTCACGATAGTTTTATGATAACATATGCCTGTCGGTATTATTGGTAACCGCGTCGGTATGTATCATCGGTAACCGTGCCGATATATGGATTAAATCTCGGGCCGCTGGCGCGTGGTAGTAGGAGGCGGCCGGAGNAGAACTACTTCTCCTCACAGNGCACGATATGGTGCTCCGCACTGTACATATGCNATGGAAAGTATTAATNCGGTCGATGAAAGGACACTTTTANAGGCCATACTGTGTACAAAGTTGAAGGGGCAAGCTCTTCTAGATTTTGAAACACAGGACGTAAATAATTTCGAGCAGCTAAAGCACGAGATCAAAACTACATACTCCGCAAAAAAAGGCACAACCGAGCTACAGATAGAGTTTAGCTCGCTAAAACAAAAGCATGAAAAAAGCGCGTTAAATTATGGACAGCGAGTTAATCAGTTAGCCATGGAACTTTACGAGTCTATGATAGAAGGTAAATTACGGACCATGGAACAAAAACGCACGATTTTAGAAACCATAAAAGAACAAGCATTACATNACTATCAAATCGGGCTACGCGAGGATCTGAAAGTGATAATACGATCACGCAGTTATAAGACGTTGCAAGAAGCAATAGCTGGCACAAGTGCGGAAGAAAAAGCCGCGAGTACGAGGCCGAAAAATCGTGCGCCATCACAAGTGCGTGGCCCAAAGAATTTCACTTGCTATAAGTGCGGGAAGATNGGTCATTACGGGAGAGAATGCCGATCTAGCAAAATGACGTTGCCGAAGCCGGGCAATAGTCGGGTAAATGCAGTTGAAAAATATTGCAACTATTGCAGGAAAACGGGTCATATACGAGAAAACTGCTGGTCGCTGAATGACAAGAAGGATAACAAAAATTACATCACGAAGGGAGAGACAAAGAATGCAATACAAAAAGCAAAAAGCTGACGCGACAATAGCGCATCGTCCAGTAGTAACGAAGAAAGAGACAAAAGAAAAAAGAAAAGTGTGTCGGTAGCCGAGTTACAGATGACCAAAATAAACGCCACACAAGTAAGATTAGACTTGGTGGTGGTACCGATGAGAGAAGCAAAGAAAGGTCATGTAGAAATGCAATATGACACCGGCGCTACCGTGTCACTGGTAAAAAAAAAGTACCTGCATGGAGAAACTCCGGCTGAGAAAACAAAGTTAGAAATAACAGAGGTTACCGGACACAAGGCATGTGTTATCGGAAAAATTAAAGCCACTTTACAGCTAAAGAATAAAAGTATAAAACACA